GACTATAGTACGTATATATATATATATATATATATATATATATACGTATATGTATCCTTACGCCTGTTTTTCTGTTTGTCTCGCTCTCTCATCACGTTAACGCGCGCACACACACACTTCTATCAGCACGGCTGTATGTTAAATCAATACCACATCTGTATGTCCCATCTATTATCACTTCCTCGTCACATAATCCAAACACATGCGCTGCTAGAAGTATACTCGTATATCCCGTTCCATCATCCCACACTCCCACACTCACTGACCAACTTATGTGTTGTTCTTTTTAGCCGGGGCATTTGATCCTGGAAGTCAACGGACAGTCCGTGGTTGGCTGGGACCACGAAAGGTGAGTCATAGCCATTTGCATACCAGTACGACCATGTGTGCACCAATACGGACACATGTGTGACAGTACGACTATATTTGATAACAGTACGACAATGTGTGTAACAGTACGACAATATGTGATAAAAGTACGACTATATGCGTACCTATACGACAATATGTGTATCTACATGATCATGTGTACTGATACGACTATATGTGTCACAATACGACAATATATGTGTAAAAGTACGACTATATGTGTACCAATACAGTGCCAATTATTATACGCACGACCTAACGTTTTGTCATATCCTACTTACGGTAGTCAGCTTGCTTCGTTTGGTGATTGCTCTAGTATACTGTCAGGTTACAAGTTCTTATACGTACAGCGTAATTAGGGCCAGAAAGGTGGCACAGGACTCAAATCCGATAGTTGGACGTGTTGATATCCTGTTTGTTGTGGTCGTGTGAAGATCCGTACACGTGCTTAAGTATGGTCTCCACTGTTTGTTCTAAGCCATTGCCCTCTCTACACATACAGTATTGTACGGTCGATGAAGGCTGAGATTGTGACCTTGAAGACCATGCCCCGAGATTTGTTCGCAACACTAATGAAGCACGAGACATCGCGACTAGAAAAGAAGCCTAAGGGTGCTAATAGAAACATATAAGATAGAAAAGAAGCCTATGGGTGGTAATAGAAACATGTAACGACAGGAAACTGAAAGCAATCATCTAATAAAGTCTTTTGGCGCAACTAATCATTTTCGTTTGATAGGGGTGCTAATAGAAACATATAACGACAGCAAACTGAAAGTTGTCATCTAATAAGTCTTTTGGCGCAACTAGTAATATTCGTTTGATGGGGGTGCTAATGGAAATATATAAGATAGAAACGAAGACCTATGGGTGCTAATAGAAACATGTAACGACAGCAAACTGAAAGCAATAATCTAATAAAGTCTTTTGGAGCAACTAGGCATATTCGTTTGATGGGGGTGCTAATAGAAACATATAACGACAGAAACTGAAAGTAGTCATCTAATAAGACTTTTGGCGCAGCTAGTAATACTCGTTTGAGAACGCTGCACGTTGGGGTGGAAATTTGGAAATTGCGTTTCACTACAGTCTGAAGATATTTCTACATCTCAGTAAAATCCCACTACAGGCTTTAGATATTTTGCACCTTTATTTTACATCTCTATTATACTCGTCTTTGTTATGTGTAGCTGCGCAGTGTATGGTGTACTCTGGTATATGTTCACATGATCACAACCAAGCGTGTAACTTACCTGGAACGTAGAAAAATAATTCCGGCAAAGTGTATAAATATAGCGATAGCGTGGAGTACGTGAAATTTTCATGTATGATACCCGATAAAACAATTGAAAGTGACATGCGGATATATCGCATGTGAACACTCCAAAGTATGCTGCAGAGTCTTGAACGTTGGTAGAATACGTGTTCACATAACGGATTAGTGCTGAATAAAGAGTCGCAATACTGTTATGACCACACGTCTTGCACATGACGAAAGTGTCCAAGATAAACAGGCTCCCCCATATTCAACAAAGGAAACAAAGAGTTTACACCTCATCATCGTACGAGTTGTAATCCTCGGCGTAGGCTTATCACGCGCCACGGCTCGGAATCCATTGACATAAAAACGTATCAGTGAGAAATACAACTCAATACAGCAATAGCACATATTTATATCGACACACTCAAAAGCACTTTCAACCCCGACGCAGTAGTAAAACGCGTGTTAATGCACTCCTTTAATACGACATCCATGTGCACAGTTGGCTAATAAATACTACTAGGGCTTGCCTCTCGAGTGATGGATGAAACATCAGATGGTAGCTAGGAGGATCGTAGCGTAACCTCCTAGAGGCTACAGACACCCGAATACTGGGAGTCACCCTTTCACCTCCACTTTTTATTGACAAGAGTGAGTGCAGTAAATACTGCTCAAATAAATAAATGTAGTTATGTATTTCAATGAGGAGATCTCATCTTTTAAGCGGTTCCAAATTGATATCTGTTTCTGGCGTTTCCCCGCCCCTAAATTTTCGGCTGAGCTCTTAGCTCTTTGCACCCCATATTTTTTTTGATACTATCGGTGCACCAAGGCTGTTACCACGATTCATTTGTTTTAGTATGTACATTAGGAACCATAATAGCAACAAGTTGATAAATACACAGTACTATGTTTAAGTTTAAATGCTTACGGCATGTTTTAATTACAATGAGTCTGTTTTATTTCTTTTTATGTATGTACACGACCTCGATGTTAATATTGATTTCAGGTTCTAATCTACAATGTAGTCGAATTTAGTCTTCTTCTTCAGCCTCCTCAGCATCTACTTCGTCGTCTGTTGTAGTATCGCCTCACTTCCGTTTCGTGGGCGCGGCTGCGAGACGATATCTCTGAAACCCCTCTCTGTGACATGCGCTACACGTAGGCCGAACGAAGGCATATGCACCATCGTCGGGCATGCGTACTTCACCAGGATCCGCACAGTTGTACCAGATGAGTGAGTCATAAACATCATAGATACACTTCTTACACCTAGTGTAATACGAAGCATTGACTTCATCACTACACTTGATATTCTTTCGTGTACACAATTTTTCAGCCAAAGGGAGAGACTCTGGCACGACAGCATCACCGCAGATGTAGTTGTAGTCTTCATGTCTTATCGTGTCCAGATGAAGTTCTTTTTCGCTGGGCAGTATTACATTCTCAGAGTAAACCATTCGTAGGATCAAACAATCATTGCATGTAACAATCGCACGCATGTTACCCTGAATGTCCTTCAAACCTTCTATGGTTAAACCGGAAGATTTTGCGCAATGTGTGGGCTTGCGCGCAGCTTTCGCCAAACAAGTCTTTGCGGAGGGTAAATCTGCATCTGTCGCTTCGCCTGTGGGATCCATTGCTAGAGTTGCATCAAGCCTCTTGTAGTGCTCTCCACATTCATTAAGACTTGGAGTCGGCACCCAAGGAATACTTTTGAATTTCTCTGCGTCCATACGAACTCGACCATGAAATGAACACGCACCAAGGTAACACTTGCGTATCTGTATGGAGAACTCAGTCAGTCGCAGATGATCCTTCATGAAGTGCTTGAAGGATTCCAATTCCATCACCTGAGCCTTTTTAAGGTTTTTCCAATCATATGCTTCCGGAAATAGTTTGGTCAATTGTATATAGACGGCTTCCAGTTCATCGTCATTTGCTGCTTTGTGAAGAAGAACTGGCTTTTCATCCCATTTACAGCGTTGAAATCGTTCACCGATGGCCTCTATGCATGGAGTGACAGTGGTCTTACAAAGTTCGCGCACTGTGGGATCAATTTCATTCTTTGCTCTCCATTTCACCTGTGCATGTGTAAGTTTGCATGTGTCATTAAAAGCGTTGAAGAAATCTATTCAGAAGCAAGTACATTTGTAAAAGCCAGCGTTAGTAGAGAGAAACATACCATAGTGATACATGATTTGATGATGTTCTCCTGTGCTGGCGTCATCTGCTTCCTCATGAAAGAGCATCCGTTCAACCCGAGCGTAAGTGTAGACATGCAATGCTCAACTGAATTGCGAATTGATAATCCGGCCGGTGTACGCATTGCTACGAGCATATCCAAATTCATCAAGCTCCAACACGAGATCATCGCCAAAATAGCACTTATGTATGTTGTGTTATGGTCCGGACCACCATCTGTATATAAGCCTAATGTCGGATTCTCTCGCTCAAATATTAGGGTATTTTTGATCAAATCGGCAACATGACGGGCAGCACTACTGTGTTCAAACACGAGATCTCGCAGTAACGTATGACAGGTGCCTTTATACCAGTTACGTACATCACGTGCGTCCGCGCGTGTTTCAGGAACTTCGACGGTTAATGCAACAGCAGCAGACACCATTTGACGTACGAAATTATGATCTGATGAAGTGAGGTGTGCGCTTGCATCCGTGATGCCCTTCTTCTGGCGTGCGTTGGCCTGAACTGGAACGCCTGAGTCGCCGATTAATATCGCCGATTTGTCGTCTGAGCATTTGAATACGATAAGTTCCGATAAATCGCTACTCCATTCCTTGAGATTCAACTGGCCAGCAGTTCCAAACTGCTCATCCTCATTTGCCTACAGGAAGGTAATGAAATAGACAGGGAGTTAGAATAGTTACTACATAACAAATTGAATAAACAGAAGTATACACATGTATAAAAACGCATGCTATTTTTATGTACAACTGTCATATACCTTTTGGTGCTGTCTAGTCTGGAGCATAAACTTTATGCCGAGCGCTCCGGTGAAGTTTGCACTTGCTTTCGAGTACGGGCTAGAAGGGACAAACTGCAACCGTATCCACTCCAGGCTGGGCAAGGCCGGTTTGTATGGCACGACAGCACCAGCATTAGCACTCGCTTCAGCCTGCTTAAACATATCCTGTGATACCAGATCTCGAAAATCACGCATTGAAATCACCTAGGTCATATACATCATATACACATGTTCTGCACGTCTTCGTTCATCCGCACTTGCCTGCGACAACGAAATATAAACATGTATGAGCAGTTTATTATCACACGTCCATCACACACACACACACACACACACACACACACACACACACACAC